CCCCAAAACCCCAAAACCCCAAAACCCCATCGATTTTATTTTATTTTGATAATATTATAACAATAAAATGAGCGAAGATGGAGAGACCAAGGCTGAAAAGCCCCTTACCATGAAGGGCTTTGATGCAATCTATAGGGCACTAGACTCAAAAGCAGCCCATACTTCCTTTGGAAATTTACCACTGTCTTATGAGAAAACAGCACCAAATTTTGGATTTGGGACTCAGAATAAAAATGATGGCGATAAGGTCTTCATGGGTGAAGAAATGGCAAGGAATATTAATCAGGGAAAGCACTCTCCAGGGCCAGTCTATGAAACTCATGATAAGAATAAGTATAATAAGGCGCCTGGCTGGGGCTTTGGCTCTGATGGTAAGATGAAGAAGATCAAACCCAAGTATGACTTCTATGAGAATGATCGCTTCTATGATGATCCTGTTGATGCTGATCACAATAGGAAAAAGAAAACATTAGCTCCAAAGTTTGGTACTGAACCAAGATTTCCAGTAAATGCTTTTGAAAAGGTTCCAGGTCCTGGATATGATCCGCAAGAACAGCCTCATAAGAAAAAGGAACCTAAGTATACTTTTGGGCATAGAAGAACAAAAGGAAATCAGAATGCATTAGTGAACCAGACTTCTACTACTAAGACTGTTGGGCCTGGTCGCTATGCACCAGAGTCTTCTGTGAATACAAGCAATAAAAAGAATAACCCAAGATGGACTCTGTCTAAGGCTGGAAGGTTTGCTACTGGAATCAAAGGGTATGACAAACATCAGACATATGATATTAAAGGAGCTGTAGGAAGGCAGCAAAACTCAAAGAAAAAATCAGCTCCTTCAGCTCACTTTGGAACTGCGCCAAGAGATATATCAGCAAAGATGGGAACTTTTAAAGACGGCATGACAGGGGCAATGAAAGTCAAGATGCCTCATGCAAAGTGGTAATATTTAATCTCTTCAATCTATAAAAATATTGAAGGGGTTTTGGGGTTTTGGGGTTTTGGGGTTTTGGGGTTTTGGGG